CGAGCAAGATGTTTTTGAGGCTCGTATGACTCGAGTTCTCAGGTTATAACAGTTTGTTAAGCACCCATAAGTTTAACGGAAGTACTGTAGCTCGAGAGAGTCTCTTAGGAGACTGGACGTNTGGGACCCGTTTCTAACATACTCTACTATGCTAATTGAAGGCTAATCTGCGTAAAATGCAGCAGCGACTAACGAAGCAGGCCAACAAACATCGTCGGCATGTTGAGTTTCAGGTGGGGGGCTTTGTTTAGCTGCGTCTACAGCCGCATTAGCAATTTCCAGTAGCCCGACCACAATCCGTAAAGTTGAGTTGTCGTTATTATGGGCCATTTCGAGTCATTGGCCATGTGGCAAAGGTCGCTTATAAATTGCAACTCCTAGAGGTTTCCAAGATCCATGACGTTTTACATGTATCGCTGCTTCGAGCTTTTATTCCTCAGGGCTCGACCCCCCCCCCCCTCACCTCTTTTCCCCATGATTTTCATAATGAGGTTCCCTTGTATGTCCCAGTTGCCTCTGTTCGTTCTTGCAAAGTGCTCATCAACTCCTAGCCACAAGAGTAGTGGGTTGTTGTGTGGTCGGATGGCGGGGTCGCGGAGGCTACCTGGGATCTGGAAGAGATGTTGCGTCGAGCATTTCCAACTTTGGTCCTTGAGGAAAAGGACGTTCTCGACGGGCGGGCAGATGATACATGTGATCTGGCAGGTTTGGGCCACGTCAATGAGCCGGAGAGAGTAACGGAGCGAAGGAGATCGAGTCATATTAAAAGACCATCATCTCGTTTGAATGATTATGTTTCATTCCTGTTCTTTAAATTAAATATTTTCATTATTGTTTATTGTAATTTCAATTTTTCTTAGGTGATCGATATTATAAGTTCCTTTGGGGGTTTCTTTTCGGTTCTTTACCTCAACGCCTTTTTTGAACTAACAGGGTTAGGCTTCTTATTATTATATCTCTACTATAAATAGGGAGATCCCTCTTGAAATGATTATCATATCAAAAATAATAAGAAGTAGTTAGTTTAAGAATTTAAAAACCCTAACCTAGTTCAAGTCCATATTTGCATAACCTAGCCTTGTAACACCTTAATCCGTCCAGGTCTGCAGCCCCTTTCAGACTAAAGTATAAACTTGGTATTCCTAAAATATTCAAAATATTTCAAACATCTAAAACTTTATTTCATAATAATATATTGGAATAGTAATGGGGTGTTTAAAGTTGCGGAAGCTCAATAAATCACAATTACAATCATAACAAATTTATGTCATTTTCAAACAGTAATCCACGCATGTATTCCAACCATCTCGCTCTATCTGCCTCCAGGAAATCATCAGTTCATTCTTTTTGTTTACATTTGTGTAGCAAATAAAAGAGTCCTCCACAACTTGCTCCGGTGACTTCATATGAAATTAACAGCACTACAACAGTCCATACACTCAAAGCTTTCTTTTGGAAGAAGAATGGTGAAGTTTGAGGAGGTTTATATAATGGAGAGGAGAGGAAGAAGCCATGGGTGATGATGTCCAATTCTTGTTTCAGCGGCTGAGTGGGGAAGGAGGCTGAATTCTACGGGTTTTAAACGCAAGTTCCTGATTGGGACTAATTTGGTCCTAGTCTGGGAACACTTTTTGGTTCAACTTTCTTCGAATTGAATTCTGTTTGCATCGTTGCGATCGGACAGTCAAACTCTATTCAACGATATAATTTTTGTATTTAATTTTAATATTTTTTCCGACATCTTATTTTTGGGTTTTGACTTGGAAAGAGTCAAAATTGATTTAATTGACTTTTATCCCAAAAGGTTCTCACATTTAATTCATTTTATTCATTCTCATGATTTATTTCAATAAATCATTTCAAAGTTCACATCATAAATAATTTCGTGATTTATTCATGATTTGGGTGTGTACTTAGGTCCTCAACCAAGGTCACACAATAAATCAACATATTGGATCTATCTCTATGAGACTTATCTAGATTTTGATATTAGATACTAAAACATATTTCATTTTGGTCCAAAGCCCATTAATAATTTATTTTTTTAATCAAAACAAATTTAATTATTTGAATAATAATTCAATAAATTTTAAGGTATGTTTTGGGGCGTTACAAGCCTCGTCGTCCTTGACTAACCTGAAGGGAAGTATCAAGCAGTCGGAGTCTTTGAAGGTTGCTCTCAACCTCCTGTGTCGGTGAGTTAGAAGCGGCAGTCAGCCCACTCGAACCAGCCGGCAACACTAAATCATACTGTAGCCGTTGTACCTTGAACACACAACAACACGTTGTAAAAGCTCCTCCTTCCAACACTTCATTTTTTTCAAAAAAAAGATAATAAAAGGAGTGGAATTTGACCACTGACTCTTGTCGTTGACCGCATCCGGTCACTGGTCATCGCCGCCGCCGGTCACCACCATCGTTGGTTGCCATGTGCCACTGTCAGTGGTCGATGGTGGTCCATGTCGGTCAATGGTGGTCCGAGTCACCCGATGATCTTTAAAAAATCAACCTAAAAAATATGGTGAGTTTTGTGTGGGTGTTTGGTGAGCTTTGCAATGAGGATTGGTTAGCTTTGTTCTTAGGGCTTGTGAGTATTAAAACCTCAAAGTTTTAAAAATTCAAAGTGTAAAAAAATCATGATAAGGGTTTCTATACATTTGGGTGAGCTTCGCAATAGTCCTTCGTAAGCTTTGCAGATCAGTGACGAACTCCAGCGTTATCTGACCATAACATGTTATCTTACCACAATGCGTCATCTCACTGAAGTCGATCAAACATTGGGATAGGGATTTAGGTATTGAGATATGTACGTTTTAGATCAGTGATGTCAAACTACACTACAGGTTCCTCTTGCCTAACTAAGGCTCCGTTCTGTTCAACTTATTTTTTATGATCTGACCTACTTTTTGCAGTTCTGATATGAACTGATCTGATCTGATTGGATCTAATATGATCGTATTTGATTTGATTCAATCTGATATAATCTGGTTGGATCTGATCTGATCTGGTCTGATCTGACTAATTATCATTTGATTTAAAGTTCAAATCAATAATTTTAATTGACTTTATAATACCGTTTGAAAATTGTAATGATAATTCATATTATAATATAATCAATATTTTTATTTTATGATTAATTTTAATGAAATAAAATTTGTTAATTCATATATTAGAATAATCATATTTTTATTTTATGATTATTTTTTTATGAAATAAGAATATTGATTTAATATTTTTATAATTAGTTCATATATACATTAGAATTTTAATTCATATATACATTAAAAAGTAATTAAATTTATTAATCCTTATAAAATATCAACGTGTGTACTACGAAACGTTTTTTATGATTAATATAACACCATAGATATAATAGTAATTTCAGGTACACTAAAATATACTCCTAGGCCGGTAAGATCAGGAGCTTTCAAATTGTTTGTGGATGCAGCTTTATTTCCCCCTTCTTCTATGGTTAGCTTTGGGTGTGTTCTCTTTAACCATGATGACTCTTTCTTTGCTGCATTGAATGGAGAATTAGTATGTGAGACTGATCCAGGTTTAGCGGAGGCGGTGGCATGTAGAAGGGCTTTGGGTTGGGCGAGGGAGCAAGGACTTACGGAGTTGGAGGTGTTCTCGGATTGCTCTAAGGTAGTGGAAGCAATAAATGGAGAGTCTATTTTTTTTCTTATGTTGGTTCGGTTATTAGTGATTGTCGAGGCTTGTTATCTCAGTTTAATTATGCTACTTTGTCGTTTGTCCCTCGGACATCTAGTGTGTTAGCTCATGTGTTGGCTAAAAGAGTTGTGATGGAGGCTGGGGTTTGGTTTGTGACTCCACCTGATTTTGTACGGCCTTTTTTGGTTGAATGAAGTGATTTCTTTGTTTTCAAAAAAAATATACTCCGGATATGAATATCAAATGTTAGTTTTATTTAAATCATGATCAAAGTTGATCAACTCGATGTAGTAAAAGATCAAAACTTTAGAAACTCAAATTACAAATAGCAATAAAAGTGTAGTTTAAAAGTAGAAGTAAATTGACATTGTCAATGTATTTTAAAAATTAAATTTTTCGACGTCTAATAATTGAAGATTACTTTCTCAGTTTTCTATTTAACTTGTTTATAAAGTTTATTGTTTTTCACTTTCAATAATAATAATAATAATAATAATAATAATAATAATAATAATAATAATTCTTGATTGGATCTGATCTAATCTAGTCTGGTCTGATCTGATTTGATTGGATCTAATCTGATTTGATTCGATCTGATCTGATTAAATCTGATCTGATTTTAATAAGAATAAGAAAAAAGAATAAGTTGAACGGAACCGAAATGATACTCCGTAATACATTATACATTATACATCCTCTTTAGGAAAGGAAACTCATCAATCTGATAGGATCTCCAAATCTGTGCCAAAAAAAAACCCTTTCATGTGGTACTATTCAGGTAGGAGAAAAGTAAGATATGGAGCAAAGACTCAAACTAAATTACTGGTTATTTACGATGTAGGATTAAAATTAGTTTTTAATTAAGTTTATTTAAAATTGAAATGAAATTGAAAATTTAATTTTATATGTTTAAAAAATATATTAAAAAATCTACATCACAAGAGATGACTACATGACTACTCCCTCTGTCCCAATTTAAATTGCATGTTTGCCTTTTTTCTCCGTCTCAAAATAAGTTGTCTGTTACGGAGTAGTTTTTATCGTAAACTTTTAAAAATAAAATACCTAAACTACCTCTAAAATAAGTCACCCTTCTTCACCTTATCTTCTAATTCATAGTCATCCCTTCTAAAAAGTAATGACAATTTTGAAAAATCAATTCTATTTTTTCTTTTCCTTAAATATGCCCAAAAGTCAAAACATGCGATATAAAACGGGACGGAGGGAGTATTATTTTATCAAATAAATAGTGAAAATTACTCCGTATTTTTTTTAAAAAAAAAGAACAAAGTCTGAGTATGTGAATAATAATATGCAACTTAAATTAGAACAGAATGAATTTTTTTTAAAACACTGCCATTAAATTCTAAGAAAATTACAATTTTCAGTAATACAAAAGAAGTACGGAGTAGGACAGCAGTTACACCTTGAAGGAGCAAATTGTGAAGCGGAAATACCTTTGATACACCAAAGTCACTTTTCATCTACAACACTTGTGGGAGAAATGTTGTAGGTATAAGTGTCACATCTACAAGTACAACTCTACGAAATGTTAGGCTTCACTTCATGTAGACCGTTCGTTCAACACTAACACTGCGTTCGGTTCAAGGAATTTAGAAAGAAAAGAAAAGAAAATGGTTTTCTCATTTTCCCTACCAAAATAAGAGGGTTTTCCTTCTCTTGTTTCTTTCTTTTCTTTAACCAAACAAGAGAAACAGTTTTCTATATCATTTTCTTTTTTCCCCTTTCAAATTCCGTGAACCATAGTGTAAAAAATTGTGTTAGTCTTCAAGAGGATACTTTTGCTTCTGAGGGTAAGATCGTGTCTTTATCTTGTTTGCTTTTCCTTGTTGTTTGAGTTTCAAGCTTGGCTTGGTTTCCAATCGCATCTGAGATGGCCTTGGGTAGCCAAAATCCAGGTCTCTCAAGAAACGGGGCACGGTCAAGTATCAATGGCTCACGCAAGGTGATCTCGACGCCACCATACGTCCACAACCTTAAGTCCGCTTCACCTTTTAAACCAAAGGAAAGCCACCCTAAACCAGCCACAGCAATATCAATGCTGTTCACATCCCAGCTTGTGCCAGACACTTTGATTTGTCTTTCTTTCCACTGGCCCAACTCAGGAACTCTCTCTGTGGTAATGGGAGGCTGAACACAAGATACAAACCATTATACACCATGATTGTTCTTTATGATTTTCCTTTTTTTACTTGAGCTTTGAATACACACACACACACACACACAGATATATAGAAATAAAATTTTAAAGAATTGAGGTACCACAAAGGCAAAACAAACCAATAGGTCCACATTCATATATTCAATATTAACTATGGAATACTCTATAGTATGCAATGCGATGAAAATGAAATACCTGCAACCTAACCCCACAGTGCTTGCTCCAAATTTCATCGGCATTTTCTGTTTTACCAAGATGTAGAGAGACACTTGGAGACCCCCAAACAGTGATGTAAATGGTATCCACCGAAGCACGATTGAGGTCTAATCTTAGTAACCCTCCAACATGTACAGTATGTCCGGCCTACAAATTGTAGGCAACTATTGAATTAGAATAACGTCGAGAAACAATTTCAGATTTTTAACTTTATAAACACATTGAAACATTTAAGAAATTCAACAAAAAATTTCAATGTAGTTAAAAAGGCCACGACCACACCAGCAATTGAAGTGTACAAAAATCTACTGCATCCATTATGTGACATATTTATGTTTAAGACTTTATGTTTTTTCGAGGGGTGAGGTTGCATATACATTTTGACTCCTAGACCCCAATGGAGCTAAAATTATATTGGCTCTGATATTCTTGTTGTTGTTGATCATGCTATTTAATAAATTCGACGAGAAGAAGAATGAGTTGGATCTTTATCATATTATTATGATAATGTTGATTGAGAATATATTCGCTTGAATGATAATCTCGTATAAGGTGTATGATTTTATCTAAAAACCTTTAATGTTACCCCCTCCGCCCTATATAAAGTGTCCTCTTTAAATAAGGCAGACCTTTTATTTTTTGCCAACCCAATTAAAGTACTGACTTTTACATACTATGAACGGTAACTAATACCCCTAAAATGTATTTTCAGGACTGTTTGGAGCTATTGACTAAAATAGCTCCTGGGCTTTACATGATTTTCCTTTATAATTAATTAAAGGTATTTTTTCTTAACCAGACTTCTTTTGGGACAATAAAAGTTGAAACAAGACTCTTTTTCTAGGGAAACAATTTGAACTGTTGAATGTTGTGTTTGTGTTTTTGCATGTACTAGTTGCTTGCTTCATTTTTAGCAAATAAAAAATTGACTATTTGATTTGGGATTTAAATTTATATACACCCTTTCTCAATTTGATGTGATTTTTAAAAAGCTTGAGTGCTTGTCTGATAGAATAACCTTCAAGCAATTCATACTAATTCTAGGATTTCTAGCTTACACAGAACTTGACAAACTATACATGATACTAGATTACTAGGATAGGCATTTATAAACTTAAAAAGAAAAAAAAAACTTGCCTTTATTCTGTAGCTGCGAGGTTGAAGTTCCTTCCGTATCTCGACCATTTTCTGCTCATCCCTACTTAGTCTCATCGACAATAGATACGGATGTAGAAGGCCCGGCGTGTCATACATCTTGGCCTTGGCAGACAGTACCCCTCTAACTCTCAGGATCCCAAGTGTAGTTCCAGGAACAGGAGCTTCAGTAAGCTTTGTAACTTTCACTCCACCCTTCTTAGCAAATGCATTGATCAAGGTTGACTTTCCTGCATTTTGAGCTCCAATAACCCACACATTACCACGTGGACCGGCTAACTCCTTAACAAATCCCAGTAAGTTTCTCACGCCAAGATCCTTACGGGCACTAACCAAATAAACTCCACTGAGTTTAGATGCACCATTAGCCTTAGCACGCCGTCTCACCCATTTATCAAGCCTTTCCGGTGACACTTGGGATGGGAGAAGATCAACCTTTGTTGCAACTAGAACAAGTTTTGGCAGTCTTTTACTTTGTTTCAAACCTTCTCTTTGGCTTCCTTCTAGTGCCTTGAATAAAGAGCTGGCAGCCCTCTTTGGAAATGACCCATCAAAATCTAAACAATCCACCACCATGAGCACAACTGTGGCATCAGCATTCCCACTGGGTTTCACTAATCTGGTAGCTATCAACCGGTCAAAGTCAAAATCGGGTATCAAGTTCTCTGCCTTTTGATTTTTAACATGTCCATAGTTCCTCAATGAATGACAACGAGCACAAACTGTCACCGCCTCCTCCTTTTCGCTCTTAGCTGCCTCTCGTGCTATTTTTTTCCTCTCAGCTTTTGACACCCGTTTCTGCTTCAAACCCTCAAGATACTCCTCTGTGACATTACCATAACCTACACCCGCCGGAGCAAACCCATCCAACTCATCACTTTCTTCTGTTTCAAAGCCAGATTCCCATTGTTCCGTATCCCAATCAATCTCATCTTCATTTCCGGAACCCATTTCTTCAATTCTTCCTTCAATTTTATCAATATCATCAAACGTTTCATAGTCTTCACTGATGCCGCTGCCACCACCATCATCGTCATCAAAAACACCCTCATTGTTTTCCTCTACATCTATTTTCGAATAACCTACTGTGGGTTCCTTGTAGTACCCGGGAAGATTGGGGTCCTTATCCTGCAAAAAGACTCCACAACCAGGGCACACAGACCCATATAATTCATCCTCGTCCCTTCCCTCGCTCAATCTGATCAATCTCCCATATTCACCACCACATTTACTTGATTTAATATCGATTTCACCGCCTTGACCTGTTTTGCAAACTGGTCGACTACTCTTCACAGATAAAGCAACAAACGACGGAGCTCTCTGGCTGCTGTTTTTATACTTCCCAGCTCTTACTGTAGGCGGTAATAACATGCACGAATAAAAACATAAATTTATCTTTCTTCTTGGAAAATTGAAAATCTGCCTGGGTAGTAGAAAATGGGAGAAATCAAGTTTTGCTCTTACCTGTAAAGGGAAGACGCGATATGGAGTTTAGGGTTTTCCCAATGGAAGATGGAAAGTTGTGGAAATCTGAAGGCGATGTGGATGCAGGAAGCAATAGCGCCATTTCGTCTTCCTAGCGAGCATTGAATGAAATCGGAAGAACTGAAGAAGCGAAGAAGAAACAACTGGACGGGCAGGAGGAACCGGGGAAGAATCTAAGCATTTAGCTTGGATAGAGGAAAACAGAGCTTGTTGATGTCTGTCTTGATTAAAAACTGTGAACTTGGGGGACTAAGGGGTGTTTGGCAAATGTCTGATCAATTCAGATAAGAGGTCTTAACCATTCAGACTCTGTATAATACTTAATCATTCAGAGGCAAATCTCTTAACCATTCAGACATCTGAACCATGAACCATTAAGAGGCTGAAACAAACAGTCTGAACCATTCAGACATCTGAACCATTAAGAGGCTGAAACAAACAACCCCTAAAACATAATGATTTTACCAACATAGGACTATATGTTTTTATTTCCCAATGTATGACTTTTGGTCATTATGAATTAGTCATTATTCAACTAAATGTCTATCATTACTGGACAATATTCCTCCCACAAGGTCATTATTAAGTCCTATTTAGAGAATAAAAAAGTTTAAGTCCTAGATTAGGAAAGTCATTATGTTTTAGTCCTATTTATTGCAAATTTTACATGAGAGAAAGCAAAAAACTGCTGCGGAGTACCTCTAAGAATGACTTAGGTACCTCTTTTAAAATATACTCCCTCCGTCCTATAATGATCTTCTCGGTTCGCAAAACGAAGAAAAATCCCAAATTTTTTCAATCTATTTTATTTAAATATTGGTATAGAAATAAAAAATAAAACATACATATTTAAAAACTACACCAAAAGTTCAACAAAACAAGTGGTGACAAGAATATTTTATTTTATCATATAGGCCATGAAAATCACAAATAAATATAAATTTCCGTAAAATAGAATAGTGCTCTGGGAAATTTAAGTCTTTCTCTAGCAAAAAGAATTAACCCATAACTTAGATTAAATAAAAGTCAATTAAGTTCAACCATGGTCTCACTTAGGCCTTCTTCTAAAAAAATATGTATTATTCATAAACAATGATACGTTGCAATTCAAGAATTACGGATCGTAGTAGTATAAAAATTTTTATTTGTGACGAGAATGGTCAACAAGCATGCTCCAAATCATCTGTTGTTTATAATGAAGTTTATCATAATTTGTGAACGCTTTATCAATATATGATGTATTGTATAATTTGATTGCATTTGACTATAATACATCATTTGATTTCATGTGAATCTAAATTTATATCACATCATATCATTCACTAATATTTATTTGTACTCAATCATTGATAACTAAAATATTTTATATTTTTATTTTGAAACAAATTACTTTCTGTGCAATAGACGGGTATGAATCTAGTATTTAAAAAAACAAATAAAAAAATTTAAAAACAAAAAATAACAAAAATATTTTTTTCTTCAAATTTTGATATACTCTTTTTAGTAATTAATAACAAAGTTTAATTTGTTCTGGAGAATGTATTTTACATAATAAAGACATATTGACCATTTGATGAATGTTTATTTGGTTCGGTTATTTTGTTTATTATTATTAAAAATATAAAATAGATGGGATCTAAATATATTTGTTCTGATGTAATTAATTTGTGGTGAGTATAAAAGAAACAAATAAAAAAAAGAGATAAATATACTTTTAGACCATGTAAAATAGGTTACTTTTATTTATTTTACAAGGATGATTTGATAAAAAGAGATTTTAGAGGGACTTAAAGGAAAAAGTACACATTTCATAGCAATCAAAAGCATATTTAACCATAAAACTAAATAATACTCCCTCCGTTTCAGATAAGAATGAAATTTTTTATTTACGGTGCAAAACCCCTTATTTTTAAAATCAATTTATATAACAATTTATATAAGAAAAATTAGTAAAATTTGCATATTAAAAGATAACATTACATTCCTACAAATAAGTGATGATAACAGTATTTTACTGTATCAAATAATCAATTAAAATACACAAAGAAACAAAGGTTATTGAGAGGTAGGTTATAAAAAATTATAATCTATTTTAGGAAGGAGGGAGTAAGAACATGTTCTCTTCATCTCATTTATTTACTTAATACACTGAGAATGTTATAATTAAGTTAGTAACATCCAAAAAAAACTTTAAATATAACTAGAAACAAATAAGAATTTAATAGAATCTAATTATGGAGTAGAATAATGAATTAGATAAATGAAAAAAAGCATAAAATTACTCCTTAGTACCCTTGATTTTTTGGTAATAACTTACAAGGTCTCATATTATCTTAAATATATTTTGGGGTATCCTTGATTCTCTAATAAGACCTATCATGTCTCACATTTTTAAAATATGTTCCGGGGATCCTTAAAATTGGTAGTAATGTACTTTGAGGATACATTCTACCAATTTGGCCGTTATGATTGAAATATCTATTATTTTAGCAAATGCTAAAGTTTACATTGATAATCATTACTTTATTAAATTTAAAAAACAAATCCTTTAGTTTGTTAGAATAAAAGAACTTTTAATCTAACGTCTAAATTGAGAAGATTTACCCTCTGAATTCTCAGAGTATATTTTAAATAATGTAAGCCTGAGAGTTCTTACCAAAATAATTAAAATTACACTAAAACATAAATTTGAGATAATGTAAAACTTGAAAGTCATTACCTAAAAAAATTGATGGTCCACGAAAGTAATTTTTTGAAAGAGAACGTCCTCGGACAAAAAGCTCTCGGGAGAACATCTCTCACTCACCTATAGGGGTGTAAACAGATATTAATCAGATCCGATGTGTCATTACCAAATCCGTATCTATTTATTTTTTTCGGATCTTGACGGATATTGAAAATCAAAACCGTATCCGCATGCGTCGGATATCGGATATATTCGTATGCATTTTCAATTTTTAAAATCAAATTAAACAATACTTAAATTTTAAAATAGATTAGATCTGTAACACCCTAATCCGTTCAGGTCTGCTGCCCCATTCACACTAAAGTATTTAGCTTGGTAATCGTAAAAAATTAAAACTTTTCAAACACATTTTATTAATCCCAATAATATTTTTCATAACATATACAGTACGGAGTATTCAACAATATTGCGGAAGCGATTTTAGTATTGACATATCATAAATTATTTCAAAACTTGCCACATCCATCCCGACAATCTCGCCCCATCTGCCGCCAAGATCACACTGTTCTTTCTGTTTACCTGCGTGTAACAAATAAAAGACACTACACGCTCAGCGGTAAAGCTGAGTAAGCATATCTAATGCGTTGGACATCCATATAAACTGAATCTAAATTCATAATCAAATCATTTGATATCATGCACACAATGTTCATTTCAGTCATTCACAGTTTTGATAATGTTCAGTTCATATCAACACAATTTATTCAATTCAGATATTATTCTGACAGTGCCCTTAGATTATTCTTAATCTAAGGCCAAATCATAACAACGCTATTAGCTATTCTTAGTCTAAGGCCAGATAATAATAATGCTCTTAGCTATTCTTAGTCTAAGGCCAGGTCATAATTTCTATAACCAGATCCTTAAAAGGCAATTATTAATCAGACACTTAAACTATTATTAGTTTAAGGCAATTGATTTTGGACACTTAACTGTATCCAGTTAAGGAAATCAGACACTTAAACTATCACTAGTTTAAGGCAAATGATTCGGACACTTAACTGTAGTCAGTTAAGGCAACAACAATATAGCGATTGATCAACATTAGATCGGGCATTCCCAAACGAGTGATCCTCTAGTTTGGTCTATGAATCCCATTTATGTGTTTTTATCTAATTCATCAAATGTTCATGTTTTCATAAGCCTGTTCTAATACAAGATCTATTCTAGAGGTCTTCTAGATAGCCTTAACATCAATTAACTAATAGGTATATCTTAGAGTTCTTCTAGATAGCGTTTAACAATACAAATTATTTAATAATTATCAATATATTCATTATTCTCATGGCTGAATCATCAATTATCATTTTGATCACTTAGTTCATTATTCATGATCATCCATAATAATCATTCATCATAATCATTAATCAACATAACAATTGATAACAAATAGCGGTCTAGTTTTGAGTGTTAACACTCTAACTTACCGTCATGCATCACAAAATGTTTTATATGCCTAAAACATTATTTTTATTATACAAAATCATATTTGTATTGTTCATAATTAATTGTTATAAAAAATAGGATTTTAGAGCATATTTTCAGGAAAATTTTCGTAGCAGGATCTGGAATTGAGGAAAATAATTTAAAATAATCAATTAATTTATAAAAATTGATTTATATAATTTTATATAATCCATTAATTCATAATAATCGATTTTTACAATTTAAATAATCAATTAATTCATTATAATCGATTTTTACAATTTAAATAATCAATTAATTCATTATAATCGAAATTTCCAATATAAATAATCGATTAATTCATAAAAATCGATTTTTACAATTTAAATAATCCATTAATTCATAATAATCGTTTTTTACAATTTAAATAATCAATTAATTCATAATAAGCGATTTTTACAATTTAAATAATCAATTAATTCATAATAATCGATTTTTACAATTTAAATAATCAATTTATTCATAATAATCGATTTTTACAATTTAAATAATCAATTAATTCATAATAATTGATTTTTACAATATAAATAATTGATTAAATGGTACTGACTTCGAACCACTGATCTGAATAAAATTTTAATCGATTTTTAGTAAGTAAATAATCGATTTTCGGCCACTGTTCATCATCTTCTTACTCGGGTCAGTTTTAACATTATCATTTTTAATCACCAAACTTCAATTTAATTATATAAAAATGTTCTCCAATGTTCACAGATCATTTTAGAGTCATTATTTCGTAATTTTAACAACAATTTCATGGTTTATGATTCTTGGTTCTTCAAACATGTCAAACACAAAACTCAACCAAACGACCGTTTATGAACGTAGAAACGATCTATATGAATATTCTAGTCACTAGATATATCTACGGGCTTACCTCGGAGCTAAATGATGATTCCGGCGATTGGACGACGAAACTTCCGGCGAACACCACGGCTTGCTCCGGCAACCTCGACGGCAATTAATACTATCAAATTACTCCCTCACTCTCAATATTCTTTTGGTACTAACTTCAGGAAGTTTTGTGCAGAATTGAGAGAAGTGAGGGTGCCCATATATAGCATTTGGAAAAGGAAGTAGCCAATTGTTGCTGAGTCATTTGTGACTCACGATAGATTGAGTGGATTCAGCGGTGATCTCCAAAATTTGATACGCAATTCCCTGATTGGGACCAATTTTGGTTCCAGTCAGAGTACACTTTTCGGTCCAACTTTCTCTGAATTGAATTCCGCTTGCACCGTTGCGATCGGAAAGTTAAACTCTATCCAACGATATAATTTTTATATTTATTTGTAACACTTTTTCCGACATCATATTTTTGGGTGGTTGACTTTGACAGAGTCAAAATTGGTTTAATTGACTTTTATTCAAAAAGCTTCTCACATTTAATTCATATTATTTATTTCCATGATTTATTTCAAAAAAAATCATTTCAAAGTTCACATTATAAACAATTTCTTCATTTATTCTTGATTTGGGTCTGTACTCAGGTTTCCAATCAAGACCACACAAAAAGTCAACATATTTGATTTATCTTTATGGAATTTATCCAGATTGTAATAATGGATATCAAAACATATTTCGTATCGGCCCAAAGCCCAACAACAATTTTTTTTAATTAAAAACAAATTTGTTTAATCGAATAATTATTTATTAATAATTCTAGGGTATGTTTTGGGGCGTTACATTTCTCCCCCCTTAAAGGAATTTCGTTCTCGAAATTCTTCTAAAGTCCATAATTGTCATCATGACTGCGTCTCGTTCGCATGGTTACATCGTTATCTTACAGATACGCATTCTCATCCGTTGATATCACTAAACTCGTCCAACATTCGAGAGTTTAACAAACTTCGATTAAGCAAAGCATTCAATGATCTTTTGGTATTGATGACTAAAGTTCCTTCATAGTATATAGTATTGCATACTTGACATATTTCTACATTACTTCGTTCGGTCACGAGTCTCGTTTGTACGTCATTGGTTAACAGAATCGATTGAAACTTTCTTCAATACCTTTAGAAGGTTTTTGGAAATTTGGAGGTTGTTTCAATTCATACGTTGTAACATAATTTTTCAGGTTACTCAAGGGGTCGTTGTCTTAGGGCAATAGCCATATTGACTTTTCATTTTTGATTTGAACGTATTTTAGGACAGCGAATCCAATTGTTCATGAGTCTCAATATGTTAGATCGTCAGCAGACTGTAGTATTGGCAAGTATGTCATTGTCAATAGGTAAATTGAATCCATCTTTGCTGTTCAAAATTCGACTGAGGATAACTACTCTTTTTCTCAAAGGTCAGGTTTCAGAGCCTATATATATCATGATTGTGGCAAGAGTATCTCACATTCTCATATTATGGAAGGAACTTCCCGAACTTTTTCTTACACCATAAAATTTGTTGGTCTACTTGGTAGTCATGCTTTTGGTAGAAATCCAAAGTTCATGGCTACGGTGGTGGATTTAGGAAGGGAATTGGTAAGGCGAAAAATTAAACTTACCTATGGAGGAGGCAACGTTGGCCTTCAAGGAGTTGTTGCTTCAACAGTCTATACCATGTATAACGGACCGGATATTCAGATAAATGGTTATTTAAACGGATGCATATTCAGATCGGATTTTAAACGAATTGGATATACAATTACCAAATCCGTATCCGTTTAGTAATCGGATACGGATAATATCCGTTTAAAACGGTAATAGTATTTTCAATTATCCTTACTCACCTAGCAGAAGGATAAGATTTGACGAACTGCTTCCCCTCCGCACTGGCCTCATTCCTTCCTACTCGACAGGTATTTCATTTTCTACACTTCATCTTCAGTCTTCTTCGTTGCTTCATCTTCTTCAGTCGTATCAAAAATACTCTCATACAACATTCATTTCGTATTTCAACTGTCCTGCACACAATCAGTAGATGTTTTTATCCTTAATTTATAGGGTTTGAGATGCTCAATACTCCATAGCCGAAACACGATTTCGCACATCTTCTTTTAACCCCATATTTTCTAGATGTATCTAGGGATCTTTTTTTCTTCATGTTTCTGAGTTTCCCAATTTCGTACATTTTTTGTTTCCACCAGACTGATTCAGTTGTAAGTTTTGGCTTCTTTAAAGGTCTGTGATTGTCATTTTAAAAATAGTAAGAGTATCAATTACACCAAAATAGCTTTATTCTAATTTTCAATATTATATACTCCATCCATCCTAGATTTTCCTGCTTTCTTTTTTCCACAGCTGTCCCAAAACAAGTTCACATTTTATTTAGAGAATGAAATGAGTAGTTCTTCTCTCTGCTGCATAATTTTTTTCTTAAACTCTGTGAAAATGCAAACAAAACCTTTTTTTAGAGACATAGAGAGTATTAGACTGAAAAAGAAAACGAGTGATTCTTTTGACACGGATGGAGCATTACAATAATCAATAATGGATCTACATTTTTGTCAGAATTTTTAAAAAGTGTTTTGGAGATTGGAAAGGATTGCTAGTATGAAAAGAGGGAGAAACATTCTTAGGCCAATTTACGGAGTGAGAGCATGAATTGTCTTCACCCTCCATCCTTTGGACGGGATGAATTGCAAAAGCTTTGATTTTGTTGTTGGAAACCACCAAGTTTCTATCACTGTTGCTATAGTTAGTCTTCTTTTGCAGTACTCCTTTAAACATTGAGATCCACAAGAGAATGGCCCTGACCTTCCCTTTCCCCTTGAGAGGCTATAACTTTTTCTTCATTCATTTTATTCTGGTAAAATTGGCAAATCAAACAGCACTATTATATATCTATATAGAAGATTTATGTTGTCTGCCTTGCGGGGTGTGGGGGGGGGGGGGGGGGAGGGGGGGGGAAAGGGTCTTCAAGTTTGTATGTTTAAAGACTTGAATATTGATATTTGAATGAGTGAATGTCCAGTTATGAGCTTCAATATGTCTGTGAATGTGCAAAACATTGATTAGTCGCTGCATTTGCCAATTTCCTTTGTAGTGCGGGTGTGTGTTATGTGGTATTGATATCAATGATACATATCATAATTCCTACAAGTTTTGATTGACAAAATACTCCCTCCATTCAGATTTAGTTGTCCACTTTCTCAACTTCATGTGTCCGGAATTAGTTGTCCACTTCTTAAGCTACGTATTTAGTAATCAAATCAATATATATTATCTAATTTACCCTCTTCTATCTAATTACCCACTGCATTACATGTTAGATTTGTTTATATTTGAATGATAAACTCATTCCACAGATTTACTTGACATTTCACCTTCACTCCTTAAATATGAGCTATCTTAGAAAGTGGACAACTAAATCCAGATAGAGGGAGTAAATTATATTTTGTGAAGAAAACATTATACCTTATTATTGTCATTTGTCATTATTTGTACTATTATGAAGTTCCCTAACCTTCTATGAATCATTATCAGGAAATATGGAAACTACAAACATCCACAGCTCTGGCATTATGTGGTTTTTCAAAGAGAAAGGTTTCAATGATAAAAGTATCCATGTAATATTTCAAAAGTGCAAGCGTCTTGAGGGCATGCAAAGTGAAAATGCCTCAGAGAACTGGGATTACTTGAAAAGCGTAGGCGTTAAGGAGAGGAAACTTCCTTCCCTTATCCGAAAGTGTCCCAAAATCCTTACTCTTGGCTTGCATGATAAACTGATTCCCATGGTCCAGTGTCTTGCCACACTGGGATCGAAACCGGGAGATGTAGCTTCTGCCATAACGAAATTTCCTCACATACTTTCCCACAGTGTTGAAGAGAAGCTCTGCCCGCTTCTCGCCTTCTTTGAGGCTCTTGGTGTTACTGACAAACAACTTGGCAAGATGATATTGCAAAACCCCAGAATTCTAAGCTACAGCATCGAATCAAAGCTTTCCCAAATTGTGGATTTTCTCGCCAGTCTGGGCCTATCCAAGGAGGTCATGATTGGAAAAGTACTGGTGAAATACCCATTTATAATGGGTTATAACGTTGAAAACAGGTTGCGTCCCACATCCGACTTCTTGATGTCATTGGGTCTAACTGAGCTTGATCTGCAAAGAGTGGTCACTAATTTCCCCGCAATTTTGTGCCGAGATGCCAACAAGACCATGAAGCCTAATCTTTCCTACTTGAGAACCCGCGGGTTTGAGCTCTCACAGATTGCAGCTATGGTCACGCATTATCCCCCACTTCTGATTAAGAGTATCGACCACTCTCTGGAGCCGCGGATTAGGTTTTTGGTAGATGTGATGGGAAGAGGACTTGACCTCCGGCGATTAATAGGCCTGATGAAGTTCGTACCCGACTTCTTCTGTAATCTCTACTCCGTTTTTGAAAACTCTCTCTTCTTGTATCTCACATCGGACTCACTTTACGACCTGACGTTACTCTTCTTTAAGTACAGATCCAAACGAGATCAGATCATTGGACGGGGTTCGAAGAAAAAAGTAAGGGACAAAGAAGACGTTGCTTCTGACTTTGTTCATTATTGAACTTGTACTGGGCAAAACCAACCATAAGAATGAAATTCTGCAGCTGTATGTTTCGTACATGTATCCCCCCCCCTCCTCCCCTCCATCCCTCCACAGTTCACACCACACACGTCTTGTTTAATGTTGTTATACTGGAAAAGTTCAAATTTTCCTCAAGTTTGAGTGTTCATCCAGATCTATTAGCTAGCCCTGGACTGAAGTTAGGATGAAACATCATTCTTACAAAAGTTTTTTTATACAACAATAATTACAATATTTATACCATTCAATTAGATTTTTTTTGATAAATCCATTATAGGATTCAAAGTTTCTAACTCATAAATTGTCATTCTAAAATTCACATAAATCCAAAATCGTTCTGTATTAAACCAAACTCATATTTTAACATGTTTTAGACATGTGTCGGATTAAATCTTGTTCTATGTGATTTCCAACAAAACAGCCTTAAATTTACGCAAATTTTTAGAATGACAATTTATGAATTACTAATTTCCATTCAATCCCAACGTGTGTTTCACAAAGAAATAATCCAATTCAAAGATATGAATGTTATAGGGTATCCAATTGAAGTAATTTAGCCGCTTGTAAAATAGCAGGCTTGGGCTTGATATTTTAGGTACGAGCTGTGCTTGTGGCTTATAAATAACAGCCCACATATTTTAGGGCCAAGCTTGGATTTTATACTCAAGCCCAAGGGCTGGCCCGAGCCAAATGAATTAAAATATTTATTATTAGTATAATTATAATAAAGTAAAATAACATTTATAATAATAAGAATAAGAAGAATACTTTCAAAATTATCATAAACACATACATCTATGGATAAAAAAGTAAATTATAAACATATTTAATAAAAGGAATACATCTTTATTACTCTATATTATTTATAACGTATCACACATTGATTATGGCATTCCAATAAATAATACTCCGTATGTACTAGCAATATAAACAAAACACATTTTATATATATTACTTATTTATTTACTCATTATAGTTATTATACTCTCTGTCCCCATTTTGATTACAATGGACCCACTATACAAGTTGGACTTGAACAGTTATTATACTCCCTCCGGGTCAGGATGGACTTGAGCATCAATTGTTAGGCCCGCTATACAGGCCGGCCAAGCTCAGGCCTTAGAAATTCTCGTAATGTAGCATCTCAACTTGATCCGGCCCGAAACCCAACCCGGCCTGTACTTTGCACTTTGATCAGGTCTAGTTGTAAGAGTGACTTCACTGTTTGACGTATATTACAAACCAAACATACTGCCCTGCCCTGGATACTGCTCATTTTACACTCTTGAGCACCATTAAGTTAAGGATCTCAAATGAAACTCCCTCTCTAGTCTCTACTGACCTGATTTCTGTCTGATGATACCAATTTGATGCAAAATTGTAATCCACAAAGCAGAATTTAGGCTAGGAATATTAATTAGAACTATAAAATCATTTCTACAACTCCAAAGTGCTAATGTCCACACCATATTTACCAAAATGATGTACAAAAGGTTACAAATGAGAGCAGCATTTCCTCAGGGGCCCTTCAAGAGAGTTGTTGCAAAGATCCGATAGTTTCTACTCCCCCAAATGTCACTTTTGTCAAGGTAATAAGACTTGAGGCAGCACTCGATCCATGGTGGAGATCTGGAAGCATCATCGCTCGTAGGAACACCAAGCAAAAGGTTCCACGTCCTACTTAATTCATCAGCTGATGGGATAAGACTGAAGAACTTTTCCTGAATAGATTATGCATGAAATTGTTGAGAGACTTCAATTCAAAGACATTGACCCCAATAGAGTTGAGATATATGGTGACTGTTAAGGGGGTGCTGATAAAATGAAGTTTTATTTACCGCATCATCTGCATATAAAAAAGCATGGATCCTTGCGGTTGGATCTTCTAGTGTCAACCTGATCCTATAGGTCCCTGAAGGAGAGCGTAAATCTGAAACACGCCATGGTAACGCTGCTGCTACTCGAACGAGACACCGAAACCTGTACGTCACCTACACCGCATAAAATTAATACGGAGTACTTCTGTTGAGCTGCACATCAATTTTTATTTATTTGTTTATTTCTATTCTAAAATTTTATATATTTGTTGATTTGACCAAATAAAGATTGTACTACAACAGAAGCCGCGTACTTGTCATTTCTGAATACAATGTCCCTTACTACCTAAGCGTCAAATATCACAATGGCCCTGTACAAACATTGTAGATAAAATTGTACGAGGATAGAGAAGGTTCAAAATGAAGATATTCGAGGCAAAAGTAGAAGTGGTCTCTGTCAAGGATAAGCTCCATGAAGCTAGACTAAGAGCTTGTTCTTTTCGTGTGATGTGATTGGTTCTGAATTTATTAAGGTCTGATATGATTTGATTCTGATTTGAATCTTTCTAGTCTGGTCTGATTTAAGTCAAAGCTATACATGATTCTGATCTAATATGGTCTAATCTGAATCTGGTCTAATCTTATTTTTTTAAAATCTGGTTTGGTCTGGTCTAATCTGATTTTTTTTAATCTGGTCTGATGTGGTATAATTTGATTTTAATAAAAATAAGTGATACGTAATACGAATAAGTTGAAGAGGACTTGCCTTAAGATGGTTTGGGCGTGTACAGATGAGAAGTACAGAACTACAAATTCTTATATGAGGTGTGAGAGACTGGTATGTAAGGAGTAGAAGGTAAACCTAAAAAGTATTGGAGCGAACGGATTAGACATGACTTACGGCTTCAGAAGCTGACCGAGGATATCCCTTTAGATAAGAGCATCTATAGGTCTAGGATTACAGTAATAAGGTACACTCTTAAGTAGTGCTCTACGCCTCTACCCCTGTGTACGATTTGCTGGCATAGTTTGTTGTATCTGTGCGCGTGCTTGCTTCTTTTGTGCTCCTCAAGTACTTTATACTCCGTAATATATTATATCATATTATGTTGTTCCTCCTCTCTGGTTCCTATCAATATCATCCTGGCCAAATGTAATCATTTCACACAATTTCTGCAAACTCACCCACTTAAGTCATTTCAACCAAAATTACCATTCCCAAAGAAGGTTCTAGAGTGCACCAATGTCCCTGAATATTACTTGCAACAGCACATCCATCTTTGTTTTGTCAACTTTGCCCATTACTCAGGTATTTTAACATAAAACAAAGACTAATTTCTATACGGTTGAGTTGTGCAAGTCTGCAGGTCATATGATTAATGAGTACGGAGTATATTACTCCGTAGCTTATATATGCCTCACTTGTTTAAAAAGACATCCAAAAGAAAGGGCAAAGAGAAGATTGGTATATATACCTCTGGATAGCTTAGAACATTCGTCAAAGTGGTGAAAGGTACACTAGAACATGAAGTCCCTGGAATTTTTTAAATTAGAAAAAATGATTAATGTGCAGAAGATGTGTCAAATATAGAATATGGATGAGCATAACTATCATACTTGTCATTCCAGAATGCCACGGAAAACATGACAGAGGCATGGATCCATATTTTGATGAGAAACGATCATCATAGATCCTGTGGCACGCAAAAACATATAAAAATAGGCATCGCGTTTAATACTACTCTTTGCTCCCTGGTTTTTAGGTGCAAAAGGATACTACCGTAAGCTCTCTGATTAGAAAAAACAAAAACAAAAACAAAAAACAGTTACAAATAGATGAGAACTCGTATTGTTCTCATGTTGCTTGTGTAGCATTTTAGTTAAGTGTATCAAGAAAAATGTAAATTGAAATATGAATTTTGCAAAAAATGTAAAAGTCAGCATTATTCATTGAAAGTAGCACTTGAACCATAAATTAAAAAGACATGTAATACTGATGAATAGCGATGGACAGATGAACAAAAAATTTGTCAGCCCTTCAAAAAAAATAGGCATGAGAGCGGTCTGTGACGGTTTGGCATTTTTATAAAAGTTGTTACCGCATTATACTCAAAACAATGAAAACAATATGGTTCATTTTTACAACTAACACCATTCGGTACCATTCTGCTTCAAAAGGGGATGGTAATGTCAAACCGTGCCTTAGTACTCTTAATGAGAAAGCGTGGTAAACAACATAATTTTAAATGTTTGAAGCACTTAATGATTTAATGCATTCCCGCTATACATGTGCATCGTACACAATTGTAAATTTTTATAAGGTGGAATGGTAAATAATGCAGGGTTGATTATTTGATAAAATATTTAAGTAATCTAAAAAACTAAGATTAAAAAAGTTAAGGTCGTTTCAAAGAAACATAATTAGAGAATATTGTCATATCAACAACAACAACCCAATTGGATCCCATGATAGTAGGGTGTGTTTACGCAAACCATGCCCCTACTCAAGAATAGGGAGGCCGTTGGCAAGAGACCCCTGGCTCAAACAGCATAGATATGGCTCAAACAGCATAGATAAAATAAGATCACATAAGACATATATAGTAGAGGTAACAAAAAGCATACAAAGGGGCTAGAGGCCAGAACGAACTAATTAAACGAAACAAAAACACGGCAAGCAAAGAGCACCTATGCATACAAAGCACACAACAATTAGAGAAACTACCACTAAGACCGGAGCGCCTACCGGACTCCCCTAATCCTAACTATCCACACGCTCATATCAAATGTCACAAAGGGAAATGTATAATGAATTTAACATTTCAAAAATAATAGTCCAACTAAGGAATTCTTGTTCTCCTTTGGAAAAAATTTACTACTCCGTCCATCCATTATTTTTCTTCCCGGTTTGACCAGACACGAATAATTATGTGTGATGAAAATAGTGTTGACTTTCCTATCATACCCCTAAGTCCTAGCTACCATACCCTTCTTACCTCTCCACCACCACGACACCATCTGCCGTTGCCAACACCCTCCTGCAACTCTCTGTCACCACTGCCGACCCTCCACCACCGTCGATCTTAGATCTTTTCATTGAAGACAACCGGGGAAAGGAAGAAACAACTCAGTGTACTTCAATCCAATCTAAATTAGTATGGGTGACACCACAGCCAATGACATGTTCTAATCTGTTCATTGCATCACTTTAGAACTGTTGATGTCGCTGTGTGTTTCCATCGCTTTGCTTGACCCAATGACACTGTAGGTGGTGACCCAACAACACTGGAGGCGGTGAGTCGGTGACGATAGAGACGATGACGGAGGCCAGATATGAAGAGGAAGAAGATGGTGGCACTACTGGCTAGTGGGTGGGAAGAATAAGACGATGGCAGATTGAACTTTGAAAGGGTAAAAAGACAGGATGAAAATTAGGGTGGGTGGGGAAAATAATTTGGGGTGGGGGTAAAATAAATGTTTTAGTGTACTGGAAATGTGAAGAAAATTTGTGACAGTCTAAAAAGAAAAGTTGAAAGAAAATTTATGGACAGAGGGAGTATAACCGTTTAAAAGCCCATTTTTACCATGTTGGTCCGGTTCAAAACAAGGCTGGACAGGTATTTTTTCCCAAACCTACAAAAATTAATCCATTCACTGCTGTAGCTCTAAAACACATCCTCCAAGGCTCCCTTCTCTGTAACCCCCTCTATACAGCAAAATTGTAATTTTTTCTTTTACATAACATGAACTTAGGAGAGTATCCTAAATGTGTCCATCAAAATTGAGAGTACTAAATGCATAAGTATTTGATTTCAAATTTTATTGAAACGACATTTTTTGCAATGCTATAAAAAGGAATAGGGACTACACAGGAGGCAGATCAGGGCCTAGTGCTTGGGCAAGATTGGGAAGGCCGAAGGGTTGAGCAGAGCATATCTCTATATGCACATGAATAAAGGGGAAAAAATTAGTGGTCAAGGGAGGTGTAGTGGACTAGTGAGTAGTGCCCATGCAGAGATTTCTACAACAAGGATATTTTGACATTTTGTAATCATTCTAATCAAGACCCAAGACATCAAGAAACAAAAATATTTTCTTTAGTACAAAGGAAAAAAATAAATGGAGAAAAGGGGTATAATCTACCATCCAGTATGTTCCTATAAAGTCAAGAATCTTCATCTGGCATTCTGGCTAGTGGGATGCTTACTTTTTTTACAAATGTACTTTGCGAAATTTGCAAACCATATTGTTTTGTACAATATTGAGTACATAAAAGGAAAGTGAAACAAATCTCTATTACTCCATTTATATCTAGTTTATTGGGAAGAATGAGTGATATTACTCCAATCATCCAATCAATTCTATTAAGCCCTAGATATGTTGCAACCCCTTTAAGCTTGCATACCATGCAATAAATTCAGTCCAATTTTTGAAATGCTTTCTCTTCTATACCCTATGACAAGTGAATCCTTAAACCATACTCCCTCTGTTCTTGAAAACACTTCTGCCCTAATTTTTTGAGCACGCCATAAAATACTTTTACTTCCACCTAAAATGTTAAATGTCTAAAATACATCCCATGATGTAGTTTATTGCGGGTAGAAGTTGTTTTGGAGGTATTTTAAACATTTTAAGTAGATTAAATTTTTTTATGGGGTGCACAAAAAATTAGGACGGAAGCGTTTTCAAGAACGGAGGGAGTATTAAACTACATAAAAGAAAATCAAGTGTTGGATTAAAGGAACAATACCTTTTATGTTGTAATACAAGATCATCGTCATCAGACAGGTTGCACAATTTTGTAAATGGCATTAGAACAGCACACCACAATGATGAACGAACTTCACACCTCAAACTTAAGAGTTTCACCCATTGGCCTGTTTTAATGTGGTTCAGGCCAAACTTTAAATTACCAGAATCCACTGTGACTCTTAAAACAGTTCCACAAGGAGGGAATGTACATAACACATTTCTTGACAAGGGAATAGATTCCAACAGTAGAGGAAGTGACGTTTCCATTTCATCTTCTAGCCTGTGAACGAAATATATCACAGTAAATTGGTAAAAATTGATTTTACTTTAAAATTAGATCTGGACAAAGAAGGCAATAGTGGCTGCCTCTACAGATATGCCACTATGACCAACAATGACACCATCTCCAGCAATGGTGGTCATCATGAACTCATGGTACAATGAAATGTTGTTCTGTATCTTTTAAGGCCATAAAATTATTTAATTTGTGTAAATTGATTACTACTCCATTAATTTTTTGATGGATTTGGACCTTTGGTATCTACTCAAAAAAATAAAATAAAAATGGTAATGAATGGATGTGATTAATTATATTAAAAGAGTCATAGATGGATTGAAATTTTTAATGAATTTAAAAGGGAATAAATTATAATAAGACTAGAATATAACCAACATAAATGTTAAATCTATTCATTGAGGTAGACATGTTGTATAATTGTATTCGTAGTAATGTGGATACCAACATAGCCTAAACAGATTTGAACACATTGTGTGAACGCTGTGCAAACTCAGAATTGTCTACACTAATGTGAAGCATTAGTGTTCCATTATTCATTTTTGGGTTTAGCAACTAACAGAACACTTACACTATGTTTGGTTCAAGGAATTTGGAAAGAAAAGAAAATGGTTTTCTCCCATTTTCCTCGCCAAAATGGGAGGAACTTGGTTTTCCCTCCTCCCGGTACACATTCTGTCTACTCATTTTACTTTTCCTTCCATTTTTGTTTTCTTTTCCTCTCTAACCAAACAAGAAAAACTATTTTTCATCTCATGTTTTTTCCTTTTCCCTTTCAAATTCCTTGAACCAAACATAGTGTTAAGGTTAAAATCAAGGGTAATTGCTCATAAATACACAAACTTAATCACAAAACATGAACCATAGTCACCTAAATCGCGGTGCGTTCCGGTACGTGGTGCGGGTACGAAATTTGCTAGAGGTGACAAATTCAGTATGAAGGGGGGGTAGGTTCATATCGGCATGAAGCGGTACGATGTAGGATGTATTCGGTACGGTGTACCAATAGTCAAAACATAAGTAAACAAAAACATAACTGTTTGTGTTGCTAATTTGCTAATATGGGTCTTAGCATCATCTTGAGTATTATGGGATTTATTATTTTTGCCAAAAGCCATTGAGAACTGTTTGTGTTGCTAATATGGGTCTCAACATCATCTTGAGTATTATAGGATTTATTATTTTGTCAAAAGCCATTGAAAAAAGAGAGAAAATCGAAAGTAGAGGAATAGAGGTTGGGTTGTGAGTGGTGAGAGACAGTGAGACAATACAAAAGCAGTGTNATGTATCTCCACCCCCCCCCCCCTCCATCCCTCCACACTTCAAAGTTCAAACCACACACGTCTTGTTTAATGTTGTTATACTGGAAAAAGTTCAAATTTTCGTCAAGTTTGAGTGTTCATGACTGAAGTTAGAATGGAACATCATTCTTACAAAAGTTTTTTTCTACAACAATAATTACAATATTTATATCATTCAATTAGACTTTTTTTTTTATAAATCTATTATAGGATTAAAAGTTACTAACTCGAAGATTGTCATTCTAAAGTTCACATAAATCCAAAATCGTTTTGTATTAAACCAAACAACTCATATTTTAACATGTTTTAGATATGTATCGGATTAAATCTTGTTCTATGTGATTTCCAACAAAACAGCCTTTTAAATTCACGTAAATTTTTAGAATGACAATTTATGAGGTATAATCCATAAAAATCCTTGAAACTCTAAATTCAATACACCCCAATTTTCATTCAATCCTAACGTGTGTTTCACAAAGAAATAATCCAATTCAAAGATATGAATGTTACAGGGTATCCAATTGAGATAATCTAGCCGCCCGTAGAATAGCAGGTTTGGGCTTGACTAAGATACAAGTTGGGCTTGCGCCTTATAAATAACAGCAGAAATATTTTAGGGCCCGGCTTGGATTTTATACTCAAGTCCATGGGTTGGCTCGATCCAAATGAATTAAAATATTTATTATTAGTATAATTATAATAAAATAAAATAACAACATTTATAATAATAATAAGAAGAAGAACAATACTATTTAAAATTATCATAAACACATACATACTTCTATGGATAAAAAAGTAAATTATAAATATATTTAATAAAATGAATACATCTTTTTACTCTATATTATTTATAACATTTCACACATTGATTATGATATTCTAATAAATAAAACTCCATATGTACTAGCAATATAAACAAAACACATTTTATATATATTATTTATTTATTTACTCATAGTTATTATACTCTCTCCATCCCCATTTTAATAACAATGGGCCCGCTATACAGGTTGGCCTTGAGCAGTTATTATACTCCCTCTTGGTCAGGTTGGACTTGAGCATCAATTAGGTCAGGCCTAAAAAATTCTCATAATGTAACATCTCGACTTGACCTGGCCCGAAACCCAACCCGGCCTGCACTTTGCACTTTGATCAGGTCTAGTTGTAAGAGTGACTTCACTGTTTGACGTATATTACAAACCAAACATACTGCCCTGCCCTGGATACTGCTCATTTTACACTCTTGAGCACCATTAAGTTAAGGATCTCAAATGAAACGCCCTCTCTAGTCTCTACTGACCTGATTTCTGTCTGATGATACCAATTTGATGCAAAATTGTAATCCACAAAGCAGAATTTAGGCTAGGAATATTAATTAGAACTATAAAATCATTTCTACAACTCCAAAGTGCTAATGTCCACACCATATTTACCAAAATGATGTACAAAAGGTTACAAATGAGAGCAGCATTTCCTCAGGGGCACATCAAGAGAGTTGTTGCAAAGATCCGATAGTTTCTACTCCCCCAAACGTCACTTTTGTCTAGGTAATAAGACTTGAGGCAGCACTCGATCCACGGTGGAGATCTGGAAGCATCCTCGCTTGTAGGAACACCAAGCAACAGGTTCCACCTCCTACTTAATTCATCAGCTGATGGGATAAGACTGAAGAACTTTTCCTGAATACATTATGCATGAAATTGTTGAGAGACTTCATTTCAAAGACATTGACCCCAATAGAGTTGAGATATATGGTGACTGTTATGGGGGTGCTGATAAAATGAAGTTTTATTTACCGCATCATCTGCATATAAAAAGGCATGGATCCTTGCGGTTGGATCTTCTAGTGTCAACCTGATCCTGTAGGTCCCTGAAGGAGAGCGTAAATCTGAAACACGCCATGGTAACGCTGCTGCTACTCGAACGAGGCACCGAAACCTGTACGTCACCTACACCGCATAAAATTAATACGGACTACTTCTGTTGAGCTGCACATCAATTTTTATTTATTTGTTTATTTCCATTCTAAAATTTTATATATTTGTCGATTTGACCAAATAAAGATTGTACAACAACAGAAGCCGTGTACTTAGTCATTTCTGAAAACAATGTCCCTTACTACCTAAGCGTCAAATATCACAATGGCCCTGCACAAACATTGTAGATAAAATTGTACGAGGATAGAGAAGGTTCAAAATGAAGATATTCGAGGCGAAAGTAGAAGTGGTCTCTGTCAAGGATAAGCTCCATGAAGCTAGACTAAGAGCTTGTTCTTTTCGTGTGATGTGATTGGTTCTGAATTTATTAAGGTCTGATATGATTTGATTCTGATTTGAATCTTTCTAGTCTGGTCTGATTTAAGTCAAAGCTATATATTATTTTGATCTAATCTGGTCTAATCTGAATTTTTTAAATCTGGTTTGGCCTGGTCTAATTTGAATTTTTTTAATATGGTCTGATGTGGTCTAATTTGATTTTAATAAAAATAAGTGATACGTAATCCGAATAAGTTGAAGAGGACTTGCCCTAAGATGGTTTGGGCGCGTACAGATGAGAAATACAGAACTAAAATTCTTATATGAGATGTGAGCGACTGGTATGTAAGGAGTAGAAGGTAAACCTAAAAAGTATTGGAGTGAACGGATTAGACATGACTTACGGCTTCAGAAGCTGACCAAGGATATGTCTTTAGATAAGAGCGTCTATAGGTCTAGGATTACAGTAATAAGGTACACTCTTAAGGCCCCGTTCCGTTCAACTTATTTTTTCTTACTCTTATTAAAATCAGATCAGATCAGATCAAATCGAATCAGATCAGATCCAATAAGATCAGATCAGATCCAAGATCCCATCAAGAATTATTATTATTAATATTATTATTATTATCATCATCATCATCATCATCATCATCATTCTTAAAAATGAAAAAAAATAAATTTTAGAAACAAGTTAAATAGAAAACTGAGAAAGTAATCCTTAATTATTAGACGTCTGAAAAATTATTTTTAAAATACATTGACAATGTCAATCTAATTCTACTTTTAAAATACATTTTTATTGTTACCTGTAATTTGAGTTTCTAAACTTTTGATCTTTTATAAGGATGAGATATTTTAATAAAAATACTATCTCTTCTATATATTGATTATCTAAATTTAATTACTTTTTAATGTATATAAATTAAATATTTATTCTAATGTATATATGAAGTAATTATTAAAATATTAAAATAATATTCTAATTTCACAAAATATAATCATAGAATAAAAAATATTATTACATTATAATATGAATGATTATTCTAATATATGAATTAACTGATTTATTTAATTAAAAAATAATCATAAATAAAAAAAATATTGATTATATTATAATATAAATTATCATTACAATTTTCAAACGTTATTATAAAGTCAAATCAAATTATTGATTTGAATTTTAAATCAAATCATAATTAATCAGATCAGACCAGACTAGATCAGATTAGATCCAATCAGATCAGACCAGATCAGATCCAATCAGATCAGATCCAATCATATCAGATTAGATCACACTCAATCAGATCAGATCAGAACTTATTAAAATCAAATCAGATCAGAAAAAATAAGTTGAACGGAACGAAGCCTAAGTAGTGCTCTACGCCTCTACCCCTGTGTACGATTTGCTACCATAGTTTGTTGTATCTATGCGCGTGCTTGCTTCTTTTGTGCTCCTCAAGTACTTTATAATATATTACTCCCTCCGTCCCACAAAACACTTCCCCTTTCCTTCTTCATTCGTCCCAAAAACCACTTCTCTTTTCCTATTAAAAAGTCACTTTTACCCCTATGAATTCTTAACCTACATCACACTTTTTCT